AAAAAAAAATACAGAGTGGAACTGTCTTAGAGGGTTTCTAAGGCTTTATGGATAAAAACTGCCACATCTTTCTCCTGTGAAGCAGCTGGTGGGTTGGAACCACCAACCTTTTGGTCACCTGTCAAATGTTTGACTACTGTGCCACCAGGGCTCCTTCTCCAAGCCTTAGGCCAAATCCTTTTCCATGACTGCAACAATTTCCTAACTGATCTTCCTTTTCCCAATCCATTCTCTGCACTGATTCTTTCTAAAACACAAATAAGAACCTTACTCTTCTGATTAAAACCCTGCAATGACTTCCTATAACTTCCAAGATAATCTTAAGCCCTTAGACTCCTCATAGGTGTAAAATGCACTGCAAAATTTTACCAGGGGTAAGATCTATTACGGAGCACGGTGACTCTGTACTATGGACACGGACTGGACTATGAATCCCAAGGTTGACTGTTAAAGCCCACCAGCAGTTCTGTGGGGGATAGTTGAAGTTATCTGCTCCCACAAAGAGTTACAGTCTTGGAAACAATACACAGCATCTCTGAGTTGGAACTGACTCAAAGGCACTTAACAAGATCTACTATACACAAGTCCAAAGTTGAGCCTGGCATTAAAGACCCTCCCAGATCTGGACCTAATTATTCTTCCAAGATTGCTCTCATACTAGTCTCTCCTCTGGTCAGAAACCGCCTCATGCATTGTCTGGCACTCATTCTTCATTTCCCCCTCTTTGAGCTCCTGCAAGTTCTTTTCGCTTCAAATCTCTACAAGTCTTTCACAGTCTAGCCTAAAAGTCATCCATGCTACCATGAATACCTCTTCTCCTCAGTTGTAAAATCCTTAGGGCCTAGTCTTTGTCTTTATCTTTGACACAGAATTGGCTCAGGCATATTTCTCCTGCTCCAGTTAAGACTTACAGAAACCAGGCCAAAATCTTACTATTTCACTTCAAACCCAAGAAATATTACTTAGGTGTGGCGCTGTGGGTTAATGCGCTAGACTGCAGGGTCGGTTTGAACCGCAATGTCGGCGGTTCAAACTCACCAGCTGTTCCTCAGAAACCCTATACAGGGTCACTAGAAGTCGGGACCGTGATAGGTGCTCAGTAAATATTGGTTAAATATGTTCATAAATACAAGTTATACTCAGTAGCTTTTTGGTGTTCCCAATGAAAACAATTATTTTCTCCCCCACCCCTATTAACAGGCCAAACGCTACAGTCTCCTCATTCTTTGGGTCGCCCTCTCTCCCCGTTCCAGGCAAAATATGCCTACATAATTCTGGGTGGAGGGTGAGGTAGCACGCGCCTTCTAAGCCGTTTTGGACGTTTTTCTACCTCCAACCCTTGGAACTGCGGCTTTGAGTAGGATGGTAAATATGGCTAGAGCAAATGGCACTACAGCCCACCTGTAGGATATATCACGACTCCGTCGAGAGACTCCCCATTGCCAGAATACACTAACTCTTCTTCAGCCCCTCTTGCCTACACCGTAGGGTGGGGGCTCTACGTGACCGGCGTCCTGACTGACCAATACCTGATCCAAGTCAAGCGAATCAGCCAATGGCTGCGGGCCAGGGAGTTAGAGTGGGGCGGGGCATGGCTGCTAGGGCAGAGTTAGCCGCGTGCCGCGAGAAGCTCTGAGACTCGGTGGTTGCTAAGGCGGGAGGTCACAGAGCGCAGCTCACGGATTGGGCGGTGCCGGAGGAGGTGGGCAGCAATTGGGCGACTCCTGGGGTGGTGCCCGGGTGAGGCGCGGGCGAGCGACTGGAGTTCCGGCAGGAGGTCCGTAGGGCCGGCGCTTTCACCATGGCCTCAGCTGAGCTGGACTACACCATCGAGATCCCGGATAAGCCATGCCGGAGCCGGGGTATGGAACGTGGACTGGGTCCAGTCCTGGGGAGGTGACCTACGAGCCTGTGCGTCGCGGACGCAGCTACGGCCCCGCCCCTTGGCGGCCCTGCCATTTCATGGTCCGCCCCCTTAGAGGGTCTCTGGGTTCTAGAGTCCGCGCGACTCCTTGGACCACGCCCCTTTGAAAGCCCCGCCCCCCCAGAGCGCTCTATTTTTCCAATTTCCACCCTTTTTGTAGCGTCAGCCGCTCGATTGGGTTAGTTTTCTGCCCTTTTAGTGTAGGGTTCTCAGGGTCCTTCGTGATTCCATTGCCTAGGGGTTGGACTTCCCACTTTGTAGCTTATCTTAGGCTTTGTGGTTGTGTTTGGAGGGGTCCCACCAGTTATTTTCCCTAAGGCGCGGGGTCTTCATGATTGCCCTCACAGAAGCCTCGGATCCAGTCCCTTAGCCCTCTCTCCTCCCATCCTCCACTCCTTGGCAGCGATTAACTGAAAAGTCCCAACAGTCAGGTAGAGGTCGGTTCAAATCTTGACTCCTCCCTTTAGTAGCTAGATGACCTTTACTTATAGTAAACTACCCGCTCCTAACTTCAGGACCTTTAATTGCACCATAATAATAATAATAACCACGCTCAGGGGGTTTCTGGGTACACAACTAATATTATTTTGTGTAAAGTACCTAGCACAATGCCTTATGTGAGTTCGGTAATTGGCATTTAGATTAGCATTATTTTTGCCCCACAGCCATATTAAAGAAAGACGTATGGGAATCCCACAAAATTGTTGGTTGTTGTAGTGGTGGCCCCCACTCATGGCAACCTTATGTGAAAGAGTAGAATACCACCCCTTCACAATCGTTGAGATGTTTGAGCCATTGTTGCAGCTGTATTGTGAAAATCCATTTCATGGAGGGTTTCTCATGTTTTTGTTGACCCCTAGCCAACATGAAATCCTGGTATGGCATTATAGGATAAGCTCTGGACTGCTAACTGCAATATGGGCAATTCAAATCCACCAGCCACTCCTCAGAAACCCTATACATCATGACTATGAATCTGAACCTATTCCAAGGCACTTAACAACAACAACCATGCATGGAGTCCTGGTGTGGTGCTGTAGGATCAGCACTGGACTGCTCACCATAATGTTGGTGGTTCAAACCCACGAGCTGCTTCTTGGGTTTGGCTTCTTGGACTGGCTGTGAGTCAGAAATGACTCGATGGCACTTAACAACAACACTACCATACATGATGCCCTTCTCTTATGATTGGTTCTTTCTAATGACATGTCCAAAGGAAGCAAGTCAAAGTCTCGCCATCCTCATATCTAAGGGACATTCTGGCAGTTGTTTGTTCTTCTAGTTCATGGTGTATATTCAATATACCGCAATCCCAAATTCAGTTATGGCAATGCTTTGATTTTCCTTGTCCGACTTTTGCTTGCATTTTGAAGCTGTTGAAAATACCATGGTTTGTTCAGATTCACTTAGTCATCAGAGTGACATCTTTGCTTTTTAATACTTAAAATACTTAATACTTTAAAGAAGTCATTTGCAGGAAATTTCCTCAGTGGATTGAAACTCCAAAACACCCACTGCCATCAAGTCGATTCTTACTCATTAGCAACCCTATAGGATCAAGTAGAACTGCCCCATAGAGTTTCCAAGACTCTTAAGTCTTTACTGGATGGAGTACATTGACACATCTTTGTCCCACAGAGCAGTTGGTGAGTTTGAACTGTCAACCTTTCTGTTAGCAGCTGAGTACTTTAGCCACTGTGCCACCAGGGCTCCTCTTCAAAAAAATTCTTTTTTGTTGCATGCCATGGAGTAGGTCCTGACTCATAGTGACCCTATATAGGGGTTCCAAGGAGCTGCTAGTGGGTTTGAACTGCTGACCTGTTGTTTGCAGTCCAGTGCTGATCCTATAGTACCACACCAGGTTTACTAGAAACCATCTCACTGGGGGGTCTTCCTATTTTTCTCTGACCTTCTACCTTACCAAACATGATATCCTTCTCCAGCAACTGGTCCCTCCTGACAATATGTCTGAAGTATGAGAGACGAAGTTTGACCATCCTGGCCTCTAAGGAGCACTCTGGCTGTACTTCTTCCAACACAGATCTGTTGGTTCTTTTGGCAGCCCATAGCACTTTCAGTATTCTCCTCTAACATCGTAACTCAAAAGCATCAATTCTCCTATGGTCTTCCTTATTCACTATCTAGCTTTCGCAACTGCATTTCTCCCATATTTGAAAATGTAGACTCCCAGAGTGAAGCTGTAAGTTGACAGAGAAGCGAGCAGCTGCTGCTGGCATGTCACTTAGTTGCTGAGGTCATTCAAACTTCTGGGCTTTGTGGGGCTGACCACGGCTCAGGATCCTCCTGTTGGGGATTCCACTGGGCTTTGTGGGGCTGACCACGGCCCAGGATCCTCCTGTTGGGGATTCCACCAGCCAGTACCTATAGCTGTGCATGGCATGTGGAGGGTAGTCTGTTTTGGCCTTTCCTGAAGCCTGTCCCCAGACTCCCAGTTTCCAACTCTGTTCTCATTCCCTGTATGAAGGTCCTTTTCTAGAGGGAAGGGGACACAGGCAATTCGATATTACCCTGTTGGTGTAGTGCTTTTGAGGGGTTTGCTCACTCTTTCTGGGGTTTGGCAGGGATGATGGGCCTAGTTCATCTGCTCAGCTCAGTGGAATCACATGACAGCACTGTGGGCCCGAAATGGCCCTGCCCCTTCTGGCCAGAGAATGGTCATCCAAGTCCCGCCTCAAGTCCCTCTGCAGCTTCCTGGCAAGCCTTCTTAAAGGCACCATATTGTGCTCATGTCTAGTAAACATTTTTTAAAGTAATTCAAAGAATTAATAGAGATGGGACTGTGGGACTGGAACAAGGGGCTTGCTCTTAGAATGAAAAGAACGTCTTAAGGGGATCATAGAGAAGAGAAGTGACTGGTTTTTGCTCCTCAGACTTTAGGGTGAGCCTGCTCTATTGCTAGGCACTGACTGAGGTCAAAGAAGTGTGGACATTCTCTTAACTCTGGGGAAGCTTTCACTGTACCTGAAAACAGTCCTGAATGGGCTGGACTTCTTCTGGGCCCCAGTGGTTTGGGAGCCTTCCTGTTCAGGCCTGAGTGGGGCCTGAAACTTTGGGAAGGCTGACAGATAAATGGTGAGCAGCAGAAAATGCAGAAGTCAGGGCTCTTGAGGAGGCTGGTGTGGCACTGTAGGATCAGCAGTGGACTGTGAACTACAAGGTCCGCAGTTCAAACACACCAGCTGTTCCTCAGAAACGCTATATAGGGTAGCTATGATTCGGAACTGACTTGACAACAACTTAACAATAACAACAAAGAGAGGAGGCAGAGTGGCCTTAGGGAGCCCGGCCTGGCAGGAAGTTGTGGTGTCCATCGGGAGTGAGGACTAAGATGAAAACCTGAAGAACTGTTAAGCCAGAGTCCTCAAAAGCCTAGGGAAGAGTCAAGTGTTTTTAATTGGTAACATTTCAGTAGAAGATTTTTATTTATTTTTATACCATGGTTCTTTTACCCATCAACACACCTTTTCTAAGTGTCTACTCAGTACCAGGCTTGGTGCTAGGTTCAGGATTTGAGATCCAGTTCTGGTCGGCCCTTCTCAGGCCTCCTTTTCTCTGAGTCTTTGTGGTGTTTACACTGCTGACCATGTCCTATCCACATACTAGGCCCACCAGGCCCTCCTTTCATTATTGTATGAATTCTCAAAACCACCTTATGAATAGGAAGGTGATGTATTTAGCCCAGAATTACTTTAGATTTCAACTCGGGAGCCTCATACCGAAACTTGTGCATGCAAGAGTTTCAGTTGTCATTAGATAAAAGGGTGTGTCAAAAAGTACTATTTAACAAAAATGTTAAAATGCAAAGCTATTGTTTCTTGACACATCCTTCATCTAGGACTATATAGTTCTCAAGATGGTGTTTCCATCTCTCTAACCCTTTCCTGGGAGTCCTGCTTTGGTGCTGTGGGTTAATGTGCTGGACTGCAAAGTCCGTTTGAACCATAAGGTCGGGAGTTCAAGGTTACCAGGCACTACTTGGAAACCCTATACAGGGTCGCTATGGGTCGGAACCAACTCGACAGCACTTAGCGATAACAACAACAACTCTTCCCTGAAGAATTCTACACTTTTTGATTTATACCGTGTCAAAATGGCAGTTTTGGCATCTTTGAGGAACTCAGATTTCATTCTTTTAAAATTTTTTTGAATTTGAGGAACAAAAAGAAGTCTGAAGGGGCAAGATCAAGGCTGTAGGGTGAATGGTGTAAGGTTTCCTAATGAAATTCTCTTAGGATAGTCCTTGCTACCCTCATAGAATAAGCAAATGCAATGTTGTGATGGAGAAAAATTCCTTGACTCAACTTTCCTGGACTTTTTCTCACCACTACAATTCTCAGTTCTTTTACAACTTTTTCCTAATAATATTCTGTGATCGTCCTTTGAGAAAATTTATCAAGACTATCCCTTGGGAATCTCAAAAAATATTCGCCATAACCTTCTGAGCTGATCTCTCTGTCTTGAATTCATTGCCAACCTCCTTAAAACACTTGATCCATCTAAAACTTGTTATTTCTGGGGTTGTTGTTACTGTTGTTAGGTGTTATTGAATTGGTACCGACTTATGCATTACAAAACGAAGCACTGTCCTGTCCTGTGCACCCTCACAATTGTTTTTAAGCTTGAGCCCGTTGCTGCTGCCACTGTGCCTATACATCTCTTTGGGGTTCTTCTACTTTTTCACCAGGGACTGGTCCCTCATGATAATGTCTAAAGTATGAAAGACGAAGTCTCACCATACTGGCTTTTAAGGAGCATTCCGGTTGTACTTCTTCCAACACAGATTTGTTTGCAAGCAAGGTTATGTCAGTTGAATATCCCAGGTTGTTAATGAGTCTTCCTCCAATCCTAATGCCATGCTCTTCTTCATATAATCAAGTTTTTTGGATTATTTTCTGAGTGTACAGATTGAATATAAGT